TTTTTTTTGTATTCCAGGATATCCCTAGGCTCCACACAAAGTCCCATCTTGGTGACACTTTCCTATCCAGGGGAGAATGGGTCTCTGACTGTTGGTGCACATCAAATGTGCAGGCTGGCCAGTTCGCAGCAGTGCCATGGTTGAGGAAGCTCTGTTAAATTCACATGGGTTTTGTTGCCAGCAGCTCCTCTGGTTCAGTTCTGGCCAAAGAGTCCCTGTTAAATATAACAGAGTCACAGGAGGCAAAGGGTTGCTTAGCCCTGCTGGAGGAGCCTGCAATAAACTGCATCAGAGGAGTGCTCAGAAGTAAATCTGCTCACCCCTGCATGAGGATCTTGGCACAAATTTAGGTAAATTGAACTGTCTGGCTCCATGGCCACCATGGTCTTTGCTAGGGACAAGGAAAGCTAAGTGCCAGAGGCACACACAGGGCTTGTGTTTGGATCACAGCCTGAATGAGAGGTTGTTTGATACAATAAACTCCCCCTGGGAAATGGACACATGTGGAGGCTGAGGCTTTGTCCCAGACAGTTCCTTCTTCCCCATGGAGTGTTTTTTTGGCTGAATGAGGGCACTGAGAGGCTCCTGCAGTAGATTCCTATGCCCTGGCCCTTCTCTGTGCATGCTCTGCTCAGCTTAAGGTCACTCATGGACAGCACAGGGAGCAGCATCCCAGCCACTGGCTCGGTCCCACAGCCCCTTCTCATCTGCACCAACTCTCAGGAGATGCAAGTACCAGCAGGACTACCCCAAAAGTGAATTATTTTTTAATTGCTGGGGCTGGGCAGCAGCCACAGCTTGAATGGGGAAACTGAAATGGTGGCCAGGCTTTTCCAAAGCTTTTGTGATAGGTCACAATTGAGCAGCAAAGTGGCTGGATGCCCTTTCCAGTTCCAGCCTGACATGGGAGGCCTTACCAATGGTGCAGCACCATCACACAACACCTACAGAGCCTTGTGCCATCCCCACAAACAGGAGTGTAATAATCCCTTCTCTCCTACAGACTCCGATTTGGCTGATTACTTTGACACGCCTGTGGAGACTACCACCAAACCAACCAAGCCAACTCCCAAGCCCTTCCCCAGGCCAGGGAAGCCAGGTAATATTGGTATTTGTACCAATAGGTAGTTGTGGATGCTCCCTGCAGGCTTGAGCACCAACAGAGCACGCAAAGGGAGGGGTACCCCCAGAGCACAGAGCTGGCCCAGTGCAGACCCAGTCTCCTAGCAGAGTGGGGGTTTCCCCACACAGCACCCCTCTGAATCCACGTTTCAGAAAGTTAACATCATCTTGGTTTTTTTTTTTCCTCGCTTCAGACAATGGCTTCTGGGATGTCATTCACACCACCACAACCAAGCAGCCAAAAACTACAAGAGCCCCTCATAAGCGTAACCCAGGTGAGCATCATCTCCACAGCCCCTGCCACTTCACTCCAGCTCTACTGCTGGCACTGGGGGGGATTTGAGATGATGGTGACACTGCCCTCACCCTGATATTTCCAACCTCTGTTTGCTCACCTGAAACACCTCGAGGAAAAAAACAAATATCAAAAACCACAGAGAAGTCAGGGCATCTGAACATTACCCTGCATTTCCCAGGGGACCTCAGTGATTTCTGGACTATGTTTCATTTCCATGCTTGCTGGAAGGCTGGTTGTGAGCTGGTAATGCTCTCCATCATGGTACAGCCATGTTGGCTCCACTGGCAGACATCCACAGGCTCAGGGCACCCTGTCACCTGGTCATTTTGCTGCCTGCCAAGGCAGGGTTTTGATTTGGATCAGAATAAACTCAGGAGTGCACTGGTGGGAGGGCTGAGGAGCTCAGTTGGCTCCGAGCAAACTGGGGTTTTAGCTGATGTATATGAAAGACAATATCCTCTGTCAGAGCCAGGCAGCTCATGGGACCAATTGAGCATTCACAGAGGAAAACA